CCTCTGGGCTGGTCTTTGGGCCTGTCTGCAGGGCTTTTACTCTCAGTAAAACAAGAATCCTGTTGAATCAAGCGCTTTCAAATCCACTTTCCCTCCAGAGTAAGGATTTTAGCACTTTCTCCGTGCTGAAATCAACGAGAGACAAGCATTTCCTGAACCCAGAAGGCAAAATTCAGCTGAAGCACAGTGGGTCATATTTTACTTTTATATCTAAAAAGTGTGAATAGGACTAATATGCAAAGCCAGTTGCATCATATGCTGGATTCGCAGCAGCACCCTGTTGCGTGCACCCTGGGGGACGTGTCTCAGTTTGTCTTGCGTAACACATGAAATAGTTCTTCAGAATATGTGACATAGCTCTTTATCACACGGTGTAGTGTCCTGGTTTAGAGCAGGGGTCCCCAACCGTTTTGAGCCCGGGGGCGTCTTCGGAGCTCTGACACAGAGGGGTGAGCAGCCGTGAAGTCTTGTGAGCAAAAATTCTACTTTGTGAGCTACCGGCATTAAAGTTGTGAGCAAACAATTTGGCTACTGCATACATTACTTTGTTCTGGAGCTATCCTTCCTGAACTAAGACAAAACTGTGTGAGCCGGAGGCTAAAAAACTGTGAGCTGGCTCGCACTAACTCAGCTTAGAGGGAACACTGGTGAGCACGGCCACAATATGGCTGCTGCAGGAAGTGGAGCCCCCCCCCAGGAGGTCCAAGTACAGGGGAGACAAGAGGCAACAAGTGAGAGAATAAAACCAATGCTTTGGTGGCCGCCGCCACCACAGCGTAATTTTGGTCTGTTATTTTGGTTTGTACAGCCCATCAGATCACCAATGACCATTCAGAAGCTGTGCTGGGTGAGAGAAGAAGAGTTGGGTTTATACCCCACTCTTCACTACCCCAAGGAGTCTCAGAGTGGCTGACAATCGCCTTCCCTTCCCCTCCCCACAACAGGCACCTTGTGAGGCGGGTGGGGCTGAGGGGGGCCTGGGAGGACCGGGACTGGCCCAAGGTCACCCAGCAGGCCTCATGTGTCTCAAAGCGGCTGACAATCGCTTTCCCTTCCTCTCCCCACAATAGACACCCTCTGAGGTAGGTGGGGCTGAGAGACCTCTGAAAGAACTGTGACTGACACAAGGTCAACCAGCTGGCTTCATGTGGAGGAGCAGGGAATCAAACCTGGTTCTCCAGATTAGAGTCCACCAATCTTAACCACCACACCAAGCTGGCTCTCTCCCCACCCACTTTCTGAAAAAGTTATCAGTTGGTGCCATGGCGCCCAAGGGAACCAGGTTGGGGACCCATGGGTTAGTGTGTTGAACCAGGAAGATAACCCCCCCCCCCAGACTGCCAGAAAGCTGATTGTGCCCATCATACTTTGTCAGGCCGACCTACTCTGCAGGGCTGTTATGTTTCTGGTTTCTGGCATGGTTATTTGTGGGGTGGGGCTTTTAATGAAGGGGGCGGGCCCCCAAAATGCCCCACTGCAGCTACGGGCCTAGGCCCAGGGCACCTGCCCCCATTGTCCAATGGTCGTTCCTGACATAGTTCAAACATCTTCTTCAGTGTTTTAGTTATTCCTACCCTGCTTTCCTCCCCAGTGGGGACCCAAAGTGACAAATCATTCTCCCGTCCTCCATTTTATCCTCACAGTGCCATTAGGGTGAGAGAGAATGACTAGCCCAAGGCCACCCAGTGAGCTTCCACAGTCAAATGGTGATTCGAATCCAGAGCAAGTGGCAATTTGAGAACCTAGTTGGGCACATTAATAATTATACCGTGCTGGCTCCTGCTTAAACCACGTTATTCCCATCAAGAGATGGATAGTGTGCGTCAACATAATTATGTCTAAGTACCCTAAATCCTTCTTAGCTGACTTCACAGAAGTGGCTTTGATCCAGGCCTGCAAATTCCTCCTCTAAGTGACTGATAAATACAAAATTGTACTTCGTATGACATCCCCTTATCAGCTGTACTCTAGGAAAACTGAATTTAAAGTGCTACATCTAAAGGAATTAGCATCTTGGACTATACTCCTGTCCCTGACAGTTTAGGTTAGGAATTGTTACCATCGTGGGAAAGAAGGTAAATTTTAATCAGAGAGCTGTCAGGGAACTGGGCATCCTGGTACAACATTTATAATAGGTCACATTCCCAGGTATCAAATATTTCAGCCTTTGCCAAGTCCGTGAGACACACGTATTTACCCAATTAATGGCCTTCACGTTCCTTGGGGATGAAAAAGCTGCTTTCCACTTGAAAGCAAGTCCAACTTCCTTCAAAGATAAAAGGTAGATTTAAGCAAATACCTTCTCAAAATAGGTTTTGTCCATGTGAATTAGATACTCTTGATTCGTTCTCATATTATTTTAGACTGTCCTCTCCTTGCACCTACAATGTAAACAATTCTTGTCTAAATGCCTCCAGCATTAGGAGGAAACGTTAAGGAAAACATTTTAATTTTTTTTTTTAGAAGATGTCAACCCTCAGATCACTACACCTGTTGCCCAATTTTCAGCAGAAGCTTATAAAATTAAGCCTAAACTCATCACTGTATTTTAATTGTTGGACACCTATTATTCCTATTGGTTTCTGAAGTTTCATCGATTTAAATACATACTTGATGTGTATTATTGGTCACCATCTTAATTAACTGTTTTATGTCTCTGTTTTTAATCTTCTATTAGACCTTTGTATTGATGCTTGACTGTAATTTACCACCAGATTTCATACCAATGTAGGAGCTGCGGTGGCTCAAGTGGTTAAGACGCTGAAATGCAGGCTGTGGAAGGTCGGTAGTTCAGCAGTTCAAGGCCCGAGTGTGCCGCATGACGGAGTGAGCTCCCGTCTCTAGTTCTAGCTCCTGCCAACCTAGCAGTTTGAAAGCAAGAAATTGCAAGTAGATAAATAGGCACCACTTCGGTGGGAAGGTAACAGCGTTCCGTGCGCCTTGGTATTTAGTCATGCCGGCCACATGGCCACGGAAACGTCTTCGGACAGCGCTGGCTCTTCGGCTTGGAAACGGAGATGAGCACCACAACCCTAGAGTCGGATTCGACTGGCTTTCGCGCAAGGGAACCTTTACCTTTTACCTTCATACCAATGAAGGTCTAAAAAGGAAAAGGATAAAAGACATTTGGATTTCACAAAATTGGAGAGGATTTTTCACAGACCAAAATTAGAGACGTAAGGCAGAGAAGAGACCCACAAGCCTGAATAACTTCAGTGAGATTCAAGGCCGATTCAGACTTCATGCTTTCCCTCTAGTATTTACAAAGCTCTACGCAGCAGCCAAATACTAGCACAAAATCTGTCCAGCTTCGGTTCAAACAGGATTGGATCCAGGTGAATCTTGTCCGCAGGCATGAGGGTGTCTACCTCAAATAGCATGATTTTTTTTTTTGTCTTTCACCTCTCACGGCAGCCCAAAATGCCCTCCGAAATTCTGGGGTGTCTCCCCCCAGTAACAGATCTTCAGGGGGCATTTTTGTGGCTGCCACAGGAGGGCAGAATTAGGAAAATTACATTCTGGGGTTGGAAGTCCTAGCAACTGTGCAGAACATTCATCTTGCAGCCACACCTAGGGCCCCGCACACCCGAAGGGCAATTTTGTTTTCAAAGTTACAGTGGCCATCTTGGACTGCCATAGCTTAACTGCCTCTTCCATTACAACCCCCCGCAGTGCTTGAGTTCCACTTCATGCAGATTTCCAGCGGGGCCTGACCCTCAGGTTGCTCGTTTAACTCCGAGAAGGGCTTTTCCGATCATGGCCAATGTTCCCGCTAAGCTGTAGAGTCCTGTGAGCAAAAAATTCTACTTTGTGAGCTACTGGCATTAAAGTTGTGAGCAAGTGAGTTGGCTACTGCATAAATTAGTTTGCTCTGGAGCCGTCCTTCCTGAGCCAAGACAAAAATCTGTGAGCCAGAGGCTAAAAAACTGTGAGCTAGCTCACACTAACTCAGCTTAGAGGGAACACTGGGCCCAACCTGGTGGAATGCTCTGTCTGAAGAGACTCCTGTCCTGAGGGACCTGTCTGGGTTCCACAGGGCCTGAAAGATGGAATTATTCCTCCAGGCAGTGCATTGTGCCAGTCTTACTGGACCTACTATCAGCTTCTCTGAGCGTCATGCCAGAGTGCCACACTGTTCTATAGAATATTTGTATTTATGCTTTGTATTCCTGTCATTCACCACCCTGAGCTCCTCAACAGATAAAGTCTACTAAGATTTGGGGCTACGAATGACGACACGGATCTGATCCACTGGAGGGGAGGCCCGAGAAGAGTGTGGACACCTGCGGCCTCAACCAAAAGCCTGGTGGAAGAGCCCCGTCTTGCAGGCCCCGCGGAACTGTAAAAGGTCCCGCAGGGCCTTTATCCCGTATGGGAGCTCATTCCACCAGGTAGGGGCCAGGGCCGAAAAAGCCCTGGCCCTAGTTGAGGCAAGACGGATGTCCCTGGGGCCGGAGACCACCAGAAGATGCTGATTTGCCAATCATAAAGTTCTCTGGGGCTCATAAGAAGAAGAAGAGGAGATTGGATTTATACCCCGTCCTTCCTTTACTACCCAAAGGAGTCTCAGAGCAGCTTACAAACGCCTCTCCCTTCCCCTCCCCACAACAGGCACCCTGTGAGGTAGGTGGGGCTGAGGGAGCTCTGACAGAAACTGCTCTTTGTCAAGAACAGCTGTGCCAGAACTAGGGCTCGCCCAAGGTCATCCAGCAGCTGCATGTGGAGGAGTGGGGAATCAAACCTGGTTCTCCCAGAGTAGAGTCCGCGCACTTCACCACTACACCAAACTGGCTCTACTACCAGGGGCAAGAGACTTCGGGGCAGTACCATAAGCAGGAGGCCGGTCTAAATCAGTCTTCTAGTTCCTCTCCCGGGCTCGGGTTCAAGAAAATGCAACAGAAATAATAGAGCATCGGTTCCAATCTCCCTCTGTTCACCAGAGACTCTTCTGACGGAACCTCAACCCCTCCTGCCCCTTGAAGAACGACAACACACCAATATTTATGTCTCCTAAATGTTTTAATGCGCGCGTCAGAACACACAGGAGGGGGGGGGGAAGAAGGGGCGTTCCGATCTTCAGTGATGCCCCTCGTCTTTCTTTGGAGGGAAGAATGCGTACTCCACCGCAAGAGAGGCCACGAAGGCCACGAATCCCCATTTGAATCCTTTGAAGAGGGCTCCCATTAAAGTGTTGGGCTTGGCGTATTCGCCGTAGTACCTCCACGCTTCATTGCTGGAGAGGAACCAAAGACAAAAGATGGATGAGGATTTCAGATCCTGCCACTTCACCCGCCGGCGGCGTACGTGTCCAAACCAATGCCCTGAAGCTGCGTTGCAAACACGGGTGTTTCAAACCGTGGGCTCTGAGGATAACTGACTATCATGGTCAATGCTGTCACTTCCGAGTCCTATCCTTCTGTGAGATCAATGCGACAACATGCATTTGCACACCCCACGCAGTACCGCTTTTCCAACAATGCGTACCTCCCCCCCCGCCCCGGAAAACTGCATATATGTTAAAGCGCCGGGTTTCAAATTTATTTACTTGCGTTATTTATAGTCTGACTTTTCCTCTGGGACTCAAGATGGATTATGCAAAGTGAGTCAATACAAATCAACGGGATGGGACAATCAGTAAACAATGAAATGGGAACTGGGCTCCCTCTAAGCTTGTGGAGTCTTGTGAGCAAAAAATTCTACTTTGTGAACTCCTGGCATTAAAGTTGTTAGCGAGCCATTTGGCAACTGCATAAATCAGTTGGCTCTGGAGCCAGCCTTCTCGAGCTAAGACAAAAATGTGTGAGCTGGAGGCTAAAAAGCTGTGAGCTAGCTCACGTTAACTCAGCTTAGAGGGAACACTGGGGGGAAAACCCCAGAACTGAAGCAAAGCATTAAGCATTTAACATGACATGTTTTTTTTGGTATCTGTGTGTGTGCGTGCCTGGAAGTCATGGCTGACCTCTGGCGACCCCTAGTGGGGCTGGGAGGCAAGGGACATTCAGAGAGGTGGCTGGCCATTGCCTGCCTCCGGCCTCCTGGCCCTGGTATTCTCTGGAGGTCTCCCATCCGAGCACTTGCCAGGGTCGGCCCTACTTGGCTTCCGAGATCTGACAAGATTGGGCTTGCCTGGGCTGTCCAGGTCAGGGGAAGTGTTAACATGACACATTAAATGATGCAAGATTACACAGTGGGCTCCAACTTACGGCAAGCTGTACAAAGTAGTATAGACCACACGGTCCCTGGTAATTTGTCCAAGTAATTTTGTGAATCATTTTGTACAGTGCTACGCTATTGCCTGCATAGAACCATCTTGAATAATTCAGGTTTGCATAGTTTGTGGGAAGCCGGGAGAGGGGGAGCCTTCCTGACCTCCTTAGGCAGACCGTTCTACAAAGCGGGGGCCACCACGGAGAAGGCACCTGTACGGGCAGTTGCTGATTTTGCCCATTTGCAGCTGAGGTGGCTCAAGTGGTTAAGACGCTGAACTGCAGGCTGTGGAAGGTCAGTAGTTCAGCAGTTCAAGACCCGGGTGCCGCAAGACAGGGTGAGCTCCTGTCTCTAGTTCCAGCTCCTGCCAATCTAGCAGTTCGAAAGCAAGAAATTGCAAGTAGATAAATAGGGACCACTTCGGTGGGAAGGTAACAGCATTCCGTGCGCCTTGGTGTTTAGTCATGCCGGCCACATGACCACGGAAACGTCTTCGGACAGCGCTGGCTCTTCGGCTTTGAAACGGAGATGAGCACCGCAACCCTAGAGTCAGATTCGACTGGCTTTCGAGCAAGGGAACCTTTACCTTTACCTGCAGAAGGCCCTGATTCATATGCCTGAAGTGCACATTCTTTTTTAGATTAACAGGCTGTGGAGTGGAGTGCGTAAAGTATGTCCCCCAGAGAGCACTAAGATCAGGGTCCCAAAATTGTCTGGCTCTCCCAGGCCCTAAAGAAGCCAGGGTAGCTGCGACGAGGGCCAGGGCCTTTTCTGTGGCGGCCCCGTACTGGTGGAATGAGCTCCAGGAGGAGATCAGGGCCCTGCGGGACCTTTTACAGTTCCGCAGGGCCTGTAAAATGGAGCTCTTTCACTAGACTTTCAATCAGGAGCTGCTTTTCAACATCGCAGCACTAACTCAATAACAGCCTGGCAAGAACCCGGATTATGGTGGTAGTTGACCATCTGGATGCTGAGAGAACGCCGCCATCTTTTATTAATACTTATGTTCCTTAATACCTAAAATTTATATGTTGTGGTTTTAATTCAATTTTCTGTGTTTTAACATGTCTTGTTTTAACATATATATATATTCTGTAAGACACCCTGAGCTTGCCACAGCGGGGAGGGCAGAATACAAATTAAACAAACAAACAGACAACTGTATTGTAGCTAACTGTAGTCACTGCTGACTTGGGGGTTATTGCTGCGGTATGCTGACATATACACACCGGTTCTTATAACCGCTCAAATACGAAGTAACACAGCAGCTTAGAAAAAGATTAAAAGACAGAACTGCTGACTTTTTAAAGAGTTCTTTCTAATCTGAGCTGGTACTATGAGCAGTGTTCCCACTAAGCTGTGCACGTGAGCGGCCAGTCATTAACACTGGAAGCCCCGCCCAGCGGTAATTTGGAGCCGTGCAGGGTCTTGCATGGCCACTTAAAGATTACAGCAGTTATATTCTGCTCAGGATGTGAACTGCTCCGCTCAGTAGAGGGAAAATTTAGAGGGAACATTGACTTATGAGGTGCTCTTTTGGTAGCTGGTCCGCTACAATAGAGTCGAATGGACTTGTCTTGTTTTTCTTGTATTTTAATGTGGAGATCACATGGGAGATTGGCGGAGTCTCCCTTGCACAAAAGAGGATGGAAACAACATTCAGGTGTGCAGACGACTTTCACCTGTCCTATGCTGCCGACTCCTATCGATAGGAAACAACTTATGGCTTCTGTTTTGGTTACTGTTTTTAGTTCTTGTGGCCCTTTCTTACACGCCATTTTAAGATTAAGGGAAATGCTGATCGCCACTTTGGGGTCAGGAAGCAATTTTTCTCCCGGCCAGTTTGGCCTGGGACCCTGGAGGTTTTTTTGCCATCTTCTGGGCATGGAGCAGGGGTCCCTGTGTGTGTGTGGGGGAGGTATTTGTGAATTTCCTGCATTGTGCAGGGGGTTGGGCTAGATGACCCCAGAGGTCCCTTCCAACTCTGTGATTCTAAGAGAAGTGTGTTTTTCATGGTATGCTTTACACACACTTGTTTTTGTGTTTGCAAGCTACCCTGGAAATCTGCATAAGCATTTGGATGCTGCCAGTGAACTCTGCTTATTTGGTGACTCGCAGAAATGAATGGGCGAGATTCTGGAGGGTAGAAAAGCTCCTCTGTGTGTTCCGTCACCGAACTGTGGATTTTATGTATGCGTCGTTGTTTATGGCCTGTGGTTTCTAGCGGGAATCCCCAGCGCTCCCTATACAACGCTTTACAATATACGACCCTATAATTTCCCATATCTGTCTTCTACCATCGCTGAGTCTCGGGAGCAGTCTCTAAAAGCACAGCTCTTCATAGGTTTTAAGGCCGCCAGGGGAACGTTTGTTCAGACTGTCCAAAGTCAAACTTTTAACACAGACATTACCGCATCCTTTCTGATGGGAGGTCTATGTAGTTCACTCGGTACCCGACGTTCAGACTCCATTAATGTTAGCCATATAACAAGCACAGACACCTGACTAATGGGAGTGCAGTCCAAAGCAGTGTATTTGAAGAAGTGAGCCGTGAGTCAGGAAAGCTCCTCCCCTGCCAGAAATTTTGTCTGTCTTTCAGGTGCTCCTGGACTTCTGCTGTTTTCTGCTGCTGCAGACAGACTAACGCGGCTACCTACCTTGACGTTTCCAAGCCTGTTGACTTCAATGGACTTAAAAGGGTGGGACTCCATTTAGGAGTCCACTGTCAAGTCTGCGGTACTGGAAAGTGCCAAGTCACAGTCAACTTATGGCAACTCTGTAGGGTTAACAGCAACAACAATAAAACAGTGTTCGGTAAACAATGGCCCCCAAAAAAGCAAATAACAACTGTGTACTGCACAAACCCGCACCAAAGTTAACAAAAAGAGACTTCAACACAAAGGTAATTCAACACATGTAATCCATCATAGGAAAATACAAAAGTCCACAATATCCCAAAGGGAAAGAACAAAGTCCAGAATAGAAATTTCTCAAAGGGCAAACAATGAAGTCTGGTATAGGTATCAACACTTTTCCTAGGTATTGTTCAGTGTTTCGGACTTCTGGTCCATGTCTCCCATGTTTGGTCCAACTTACATAATAGCAACCTTGGTAGGTGCTTTCTAAAGCTTAGGAGACCTGGCCCATATAGAAACTGAATAAAGTTTGCCTGTTAAGAAATTGCAATGAGACTTCCTGTAGTGGCTTTTTGTTCCTGAGGAAGGACCAGAAGTCCAAAACACTGAACAATACCTAGGAAAAGTGTTGATATCTATTCCAGCAGGGGTCACTGGGGGTGTGTGTGGGGGAGGCATTTGTGAATTTCCTGCATTGTGCAGGGGGTTGGACTAGATGACCCTGGAAGTCCCTTCCAACTCTACGATTCTATGTTACATGTTAATTTGCTGCTCAGCCCCTGCCTGCAAGTCTGAACCTTACCTACCATTCCAGTGTATCTGAAGAAGTGTGGATGCACACGGAAGCTCATACCTTGAATAAACCTATGTTGGTCTTAAAGGTGCCACTCTGGACTCTCAATTTGCTCTACTGCTTCAGACCGACACGGCTGACCACCTGGATCAGGTCTGACCCCACTTAGCTTCTAAGATCTGAGAAGATCTTAGCCTGGGCCACGCAAATCAGGGCACTATTATGTCACCACTGATAAAGTCTATGAGTAATGGAAATCTGCCTTATGCTTCTCTATGTGGAGGATACTGCCTGCTGATGAAAAATATTCCATCGGAGAAACAGTTCCATTAGGAGACGGCCACCTGGAGCTTAGCCGCCTTTCCAGTGCCACGTTTCTGCTAATCAATGAACAAATTCTATAGAGGTGGCCGGGCAGCCGTGGTGTGGCAGAAGCGAGTGATCTTAGATACAGAACTTCAGGGCCGTAAGACCGGCTGCTCCCCCACGGATTCAATTGATTTGAAGAGACACATGAATAAGTTATATTTGGGAGCCAGATTGCTCAGCGCTCTAATAGGGAAATGTACCGCTAGGATTACCAGATGCAGAAGACTCTGGCGCTCAGGGCCTCTGAGGACAAAACATTATGCAGCATTACACCAATGTCAGTGAACCGTTTAATAGACAGGGCATATCCCCCCCCCATCGTAGCTGTGGAAGAGATCAGGATTGGTCTAAAAAGGAATGTTCTTTGTTGCCTGCTCCGAGCAGAGCTAGGAAAGCTGCTTCGGAGGCCTCCTAAAATACAGCACTTTGTAATTAAGTACAGTTTTGTAATTAAGTAGCTACGGTGGGGCTTTGGGGGGCTCTGTCACCTTTCTTAAAGGCACATCCCCAGAAGAATTTCTCTTGTAAATGCTTTTTCCAATCATTTTAGAACTTTTTTAAAAGTCCTGCGATCCTTTAAGCAGAGTGGGGTGCCGTAGTTGACTAATTCCAGCAATGAGCAAGGGGGTTGGAGTAGGTGACCTCTAGGACCCCTTCTAACTCTGTGTCAAGAAACTGGTTTCCTTTAAGAGAGTTTTTCTGCCTAAGTGTTAGCTTTCTGGACTACAGAAGTCATCACCCCCACCTACCAGCTTGTTCTCAGAACTCTTGCTTAGGCTGGCAGAAGTGATTAACTTGCAGCAGCTGAGAACGGTCAACTAAAGTGGTTGACAGCTTGCAAGTTAGAGATCTAGCCTAGTAACAGATTTCTATTGGCTAAATGGCTTTTCTTTCTGCACTGAGAACTTCAGCCCAACCAGGAAAAAAAATTGCCCCACAAGCCGCAAAATCCTGGCTACGGGCCTGAGTGCATGGGTCCCCAAAGGGATACCTGTGAGTGCCACGGTGCCCGCCGACACTTTTCCTGGTGCCCAGCAAGACTTCCAATTGGCCGCTGGAGAGTTGATTAGCTGTGCGGGCTTTTAAAAACCTTGCTTCGGCAGCAGCTGCCGCCACAACACAAGGATCCTCCCTGTGTAACCGCAGTGGCCACTTTGTGTTTGGCTCCACCTCCTGCAGCAGGTTTCTTTGGCAGCCATTTTGGGGCTGTGCCCACCCCGCTATGTCAGCATTGCAGAGGGGGCCCACCAGCTCAAAAAGGCTGGGGACTTCTGAAGTAGTTCAAGCACTTGGGGGAGGGGAGGTTGTTTCTGGGCAGCTCGGGCCTCTCCCATGGGGAAAATCATTCCCCTTCTAGCAACCAAGATGTTCTGGCTGCTGTTATCTCAAGAAGGAGACAGCTGTGCTGGGGAAAAGCATCCAAAGGGGCCATCAACATTTCCAGTGGGCTGGAGGAGCATCTTTTTGAAGCATGGCTACCGAGTGTGGAGCTTTCTAGTTTAGAGAAAGATGACACAAAGGGGGGGGGGGAATGATAAAGGCTATACAATTTTGCACGGGGTGAGGATCGGTCCCCAGTGCTGCCTAGGGTTGCCAGCCTCCAGGTGGGGCCTGGGGATCGTCTGCTTTTGCAACTGATCTCCAGCTGACAGAGATCAGCTCCCCTGGAGAAAATGGCTGCTTTGAAGGGGGGACTCTATGGCATCGTGCCATGCCAAAGTCTCCAGGTGTTTTCCAACCCAGACCTGGCAACCCTAGTGCTGCCTAGGCAAATGCTGGGAGGTTTGAGGGAGGGGTCTCTAGAGAGAGTGGAGTTTGGTCAGGATACAAGGTCATTTTCAGGTGAAGCCGCAGGTATTTTCCCATATCTCTATGGTAAAGACCACAGAGATCAGCATAAATTCCTAGAGCATCGCTATGAGGGCCATTTTTTCCTCCTCAGTTTCTTAAGGACGGGCAATTGAGGCTGGGACTTGTCTGTCAGGCCTGGGCAATTGGGAAGCCTAGGAAGTGGACAGAGAATGTTTTTCTTCCCCTCTTATAATACTAAAACTTGCAGGCACCCGGTGAAGCTGATGGGCTGAGGACAATCAAAAGGAAGTATTCCTTCAAAGAGCGCCTGGCCTGTAGAATTCACTGCCATGGGATGTAGTGTTGGGTTAGCTGGCTTTACAAGAGGGTATTAAGATAAATACATGGGAGAAAAGTCCATCGGTAGCTGTTAACCGTGACGACAAAGTGGGATTTCTAAGTTCAGAAGCTGTAACCCCTCCGAATACCCGCGCTGGGAGGCAGCAACTGAAGGAGGCTTTGGCCTCGGTTCCCTGTTTGTGGGTCTCCTAGGGACATCTGACTGGTTGCTGTGCGAAGGAGGAGGCTGGAATAGATGGACCGATGATCCGATCCACAAAGAGAGTGCTGAGGGGAGCCCTATTGGGACTGAAGTTTCATGGCTACATTCGAGTCCAGTTGCAACTTACAGACCAGCAAGCTTTCTGGGGTACAGGGAGCTTTGACTCTTGAAAGCTTATACCGAACTGATCTAATTCAGTATGGCTGCTCTTATGCGCAGCTTCTACTTTCTCTCTGAGTTCCCAGTTCTTCAAGGGAGGGGGACTTCCTGGATGTAGGGTTGTCAACCTCCAAGTGGGGTCGGAGATCTCCTGCTATTACATATCCAGGCTATATAGAGATCAGTTTCCCCTGGAGGAAATGGTTGCTTTGAGGGTGGACTCTGTGGCATTATACCCTGTTAAAGTCCCTCCCATCCCCAAACCCCGCCCTCCCCAGGCTCCACCCCCAAATCTCCAGGAATTTCCCCACCCAGAGCTGTTAACCCTAGCTGGATGGGAAGCAGATTTCTGAAACCCAGTTTTCAAAGTATGCATGGATTTGCAGAGTAAGTTAAACAATTTCATCACTGGAAGCAAACTTTCGCCAACAGAGGCGATAGAGAGTCTCTACATGGGTGGTAGTGTAAAGTCAATGTATGGCGACCCCATAGGGTTTCCAAGGCAAGAGGTGAACAGAGGCGGTTTGCCATTGCCCGCCCCTGTGCAGCAACCCTGGGCTTCCTGAGAGGTTTCCCATCCAGGGCTCTTTTTGTAGAAAAAGCCCAACAGGAACTCATTAGCATAATAGGCCACACCCCAACAGCACAGTTCATTAGCATATTAGGCCACACCCCCATGTCTTCCCTTGACTTGCCCAGTTGCCCCACGGCTGCGGGATGCCAGGCAAGCTGGCCCTTAAATGCCTCCCCGATCCTTCCAGGGCCCCCCCCCGGCCTGCCCACTTCGGAGTCGCTGGGGGGGGGGGCACTCTCCAGGCCTTCCCTCTGTAGCCATGCATGCAGAGATTTTGGCTGTAGTGGGTGTGGCCAACTCTGAAGCCAGCCGGAACTCCGTTCCTGTGCGTTCCTGCTCAAAAATAGCCCTGCTCCCATCCAAATACTAAGCAGGGCTGACCCTGCTTATCTTCTGAGATCTGATGAGATCAAGCTAGCCTGGGCCATCCGGATCGGGGTGTCTAGTGAGGTGCCGGCTCTAAAAGCTAAGTGAAAAGGGCTTTCCGGTAGTCAAAGAAACCCAAGAGGAACTGCCCTCAGCCTGGGAACATCTGCATTGGCCCTATGATGTCAGTCGCTTTGGTACTTCACATATTTTTTTGGATGTTAAATACTTGACTGCTACAGCTTTGGACTATCATGCCTGGGAAATCTCTCATACAGGTAATTCTGTAACGGAAAACCCCTACTTTAGTAATCCGTGGAACACTTTATGAAACCAAAAAAAGTGTGCAGGCCATAGGCTTCAATGCGGACATAAGAATGTCCAGGGCTATTTTTGGGCAGGAACGCACAGGAACGGAATTCCGGCTGGCTCCCAAGTTGGCCACGCCCAGCAGGAACTCATTAGCATAATAGGCCACACCCAACAGCAGGAACTCATTAGGATTGGCCACATTAGGGGTGTGTGGCCTAACATGCAAAGGAGTTCCTGCTACAAAAAAAAGGCCCTGGGTTTTGACAACAAACAAGGTAAACAGAATAAGAAGCAAAAGGTGTGTGAGGCCGGATGACCACACTTCTGGTAACATGTGGGGTGTGGCATAATATGCTAATGAGCTGCTCTGTCAGGGGTGTGGCCTAATATGCTAATACATTTCTGCTGTTGGGTGTGGCCTGTTATGCTAATGAGTTCCTGCTGTGCTTTTTCTACCAAAAAAGCCCTGAGAATGTCCCTTCCAGGAAAACGACATGATGCTTCTCATGAGCTATGAAAGTCAACGCATAGGTTGAAACGTAGGCCCTCGCCACCCCTTTATGGGGAAACTGGACCTCAAGCAGGAATTCAGCGATGGAAGAAGTGTGAACTCCCAGTCCCATACGACCACAAAATGGCAGACGGTACCCGTGATGCTCTGAACTGAATGTCCGGCTCCTAGGAGCCACGTCCAAACACATTTTTTAAAAGCCACACACACACAGCAGGTCCTCAGGCTTCCTGACAACTGCCCTGCAAGTTTCTTGATAAGCTGATTTTGAAAGTAAGGCGACCTCAAAAGCTGTCTCCGACGCAGGTGAAGGAACTGCCGATGCTGAGATCGAAAACCCTGACGCGCGTGCCTAAGCGTCTTACTGGACTGTAGTCCCAAACTGAAAATCTGAACAACAGTTCTGATGGGTTCTCCAACCTTTTAGCCTAGTAAAGAAAAGCTACGCTAACATATCAGACCAAGTGAAAGGCAGCATTTAGGCAAGCTCTTACCGAAGCCACGGATCCCTGAGACCTCGCCGGGCCAACCTCTTCTGCACATCCTCAAGGGGAGTCCCTTCTATCTTCCACTGCTTGTAGTCCGGAAAATCAATGTTGCCATGCTCGTGGCCATGCCCCATGCTGCTAGGAAAGACAGGCAGCATTAAAGACAGGAAAGACAGGCAGCATTAAAGCCAGGCAGCATTCACAATGTCTTTCATTGATATATGGCAGTCATCTTTATAAAATAAATGGGAAAGGCAGAACACATCTCCCCTTGGCCTGCTAGGAGTTGCTCAAGAAGAGAGAAGACAGAGAGAAGAGATTGGATTTATACCCTGCCCTTCACTACCAAAAGGAGTCTCAGAGCGGCTTACAATCTCCTTTCCCTTCCCCTCCCCACAGCAGACACCCTAGAAGGTAGGTGGGGCTGAGAGAGCTCTTTCGAGGACTGCCCTTGAGAGAAGAGCTCTGAAAGAACTTGTGACTGACCCAAGGTCACACCAGCAGCTGCATGTGGAGGAGTGAGGAATCAAACCTGGTTCTCCCAGACTGGAGTCCGCACTCCTAACCACTACACCAAACTGGCCCTGCAGTAGCAGGGTGGGCTGCTGTGTGGAGGACTGGAATGAATGGGAGGTGTATCCACACATTGTTGCAGTCAATCAACACTATTTTCAGCTGCACACGCTCTTGGAGGCGCATGCAACGGACAGCAACGAAGCGGAGATGTGCAACCTGATCCAGCCAGTGATAAATTTCTACTGTGGCTCTCTTCAGCTGGACTAGGCAAGGGACACAGGTGTGGAGCAGAGAGAAAACAGGAAGAAGGGACCCCCCCTCCTTTTATTGCTCTGTCCTACAGTGGAGAACGCAATAAATAGGATGTATAGGAGTAAAATACATGACAGAGTTTCTTTAAACATCTACAGCCTAGCAAGGTGCCCCTCAATGAGGCAGACCAAGAGTGCTGGAATAGGGCTGTCTGTTACAGGACTCTCATGTGGTCTCGCCCAGTGGAGGGTAAACTCATCTGTGGGCAGGGAAAGCTTTACCTGCAGCCAGGTATGTCCCCCACCCGCACTGATTACAGCTATGCATTTATACTAAAAAAAAACCCAGACAGAGGTAAACTTGGAGATGATGTTGGAGAAGGGAGTGTTGTCTCTAGTGATCTCAGTTTGTTGAGGAGAGGGGGATGTTTTCCTATCTCCAATCAGTTTACTTTGTCCCAAAGAGAGCCAGTTTGGTGTAGTGGTTAGGAGTGGTGGACTCTGATCTGGGAGAACCGGGTTTGATTCCCCGCTCCTCCACATGCAGCTGCTGGAGTGACCTTGGGTGAGTCGCAAGTTTTCTCAGAGCTGTCCTCTCAGAGGTCTCTCGGCCCCACCTACCTCCCAGGGTGTCTGTTGTGTGTAGGAGAAGGGAAAGGAGATTGTAAGCACCTGGTATTTTTGGCCATTGTGTGACAGAGTGTTGGACTGGATGGGCCATTGGCCTGATCCAACATTGGCTTCTCTTATGTTCTTATGTCTGGGGCAAGTGATGCACTGTATTCTTGGTGCTTGGGGGGGGGGGGCAACAGTGGGAGGGCTTCTAGTGTTCTGGTTCCACTGGTGGACCTCCTGATGGCACCTGGTATTTTTGGCCACTGTGTGACAGAGTGTTCGACTGGATGGGCCATTGGTCTGATCCAACATTGGCTTCTCTTATGTTCTTATGTTGTAAGCCGCTTTGAGACTCTGAGTGAAGCGTGGGGTATAAATTCAACCTCCTCCTCCTCTTCTTCTATAAAACAAAAGCCATGGAGAATTAAGCCTGTTACTGTAGCTGGTAAGTCTTGCCTTGGTTTTGGAATGATCGTTCTGGTTACACTGGAGCAGGGGCTGCCAACCAACCTTTTTGAGCCTGTGGGCACATCTGGAATTCGGACATAACGTGGGTGCAGCCACAAAATGGCTGCCATGTGAGGTGGAGCCAGCTACAAAATGGCTGCCGCAGCTTACCTTCAGTCCTACAGTGAGGATCTTTGTGCTGTCGTGGCAGCTGTGACCAAAGCAACTTTTAAAAAAAATCTCCACAGCCAATCAGATCTCCAGTGGTCAATCAGAAGCCAGAATTACATTGGCAGCTATGTGGAAAGATAAGAAAAATACCTACGATCGAACAGTGGCGAGCTTGACTCTGGGACTACTTTATCATGAGTAAAATCTCAGAGACAGTTAATTATACCCAAGTAAATAATTCCACCACTAAGTCTGTTGAAGTATGGTTTCCTGTAGTTCAATATATAACTGAAAAAGATATACTTCCCAAAAATACATTGTATCAAGATATGTCATTTCTTCAACAGATCTCTGGTTTACTTGCAGACAAGCAACAGATATGAAAATGTTGTTTTGGTGACTGTCTAGAGGTTGTATGTTATTTTGTATATACGGTTTTTAAAATAAAGTTATTTAAAAAGAAGAAGAAGCCTTGCTGGGCAAAAGCCCCACTTTGGCCCCACTCAAGTGGTTAAGACCCTGAACTGCAGACCAGAAAGTCGGTAGTTCAGCAGTTCGAGACCCGAGTGCCGCATGATGGAGTGAGCTCCCATCTCTAGTTCCAGCTCCTGCCAACCTAGCAGTTCGAAAGCAAGAAATTGCAAGAAGATAAACAGGTACCGTTTCGGTGGGAAGGTAACAGCGTTCCGTGCACCTCGGCGTCTAATCATGCCGGCCACATGACCACGGAAACGTCTTTGGACAGCACTGGCTCTTTGGCTTGGAAACGGAGATGAGCACCGCATCCCTAGAGTTCGGTTCAACTGGATTTCGAGCGAGGGAAACCTTTACCTTTACTAATACATTTGCTGGGTGCCAGAAAGGCGTTGGCAGGTGCCATAGTACTCCTGGGCACGTTTGGGACCCCGATGCTAGAGCCAGACACAGAGTCCGGGGAAATATGTCCTATATTACTTTGTCTCAATAAAACAGGAGCCATTGAGAATTAAACCTGTTGCTGTATCTGCATAGTCTTGCCTTGGTTTTGGTTGGGGGGGTTATGCTAGAGGCAGAAACAGAGCCGAGGGAAATGGCTTCTGCATTACACCCCTCCCTCAAAAAATTTTTTTTTTCTGTCTCTCGGAACAGATTTCAGACCAAGGAGAGAAGAAAGCCACCGTTTCCCAGATACATTATCTATTCAGCAGTGCCACTTGGTGATTGGGCTGCATTTCCATATTTTATTAGTCACAATTGATTTCGCCTTTCCAGGACCGAAATCCAAGCAAAGGGGCTGCTGTGCAAAATCATGAAGCAAACTGGCTGCGAACAAGATGTTCTGACTCGCATTAGTCATCCTCCAGATCTGTACATAAAAGAATTGATTAATATAAAAGAGGGCCTACGGACTTGAGCATCTCCACTCGTCGGCAGCAAAGAGAAGCGCGCGGGAAAGCCACTGAGGGACCAGGGGGCCCTGGAACCACACGACTCAAAGTAAGGCAAACTAACGTCTGCCTGTTCTTTTGACAGGTCGGGATCCGTATTTGCAAGGGGAACTTTAATAAGCCGCAGACGGCCGTTTGGCATTCAGAAGTCTGACAAGCTTTCTAATGCTTGTGTAAGTGGTTTTTTGTGTCTGAATACAGGATGACGTTTTATGCTGCCGTACAAAAGAAGCAGCAAACATTTCCCCTGCTGTCTTTCCCCCCAGCAGGAGTCCAGGCGCCGCTGAGTTATCCATGTTAGAGATTACAAGAACAGAACAAAGTGCTCCAATTGGTGCTCACAATATGTACAAGCTATAAAGATAGACTCAGGTGGGTAGCCGCCTTGGTCTGAAGCGACAGGACGAAATTTGAGTCCGGTGGCACCTTTAAGATCAACACAGTTTAATGCTGTGTATCAGCTTTCGTGGGCATGCACACTTCTTCAGATACACTGAAGTTTCAATTCACTGTATTTCAATGTTTTGCATTTCAGTGTATCTGAAGAAGTGTGCATGCCCATGAAAGCTGATACCCAGAATTACACTTTGTGCCACTGGACTCAAAACTTCAATACCTACAAGCGTACCTTCTAATCCTCTAGTCCCCTTTGTCACCAAGCTACGGGTTATGTAAATACCTTGGAGGAAGGCTGGAAGAGTCACTGCTATTGTACTCTGGCCTTTGGACTTCGATCTCTAGTGATTCTACCAAACCAACATTCATTCCAGGACGGACCTGGAAAGAAAATAGGCAGTACCAGCCGAAGGAGCTGCATTCTCAAGATCCTGCTCCCACCTCCAACCCCAATGTAAATATACTCCAGCCAACATGCTACTGTTTGGGGGGGGGGGGGTTAGCAGCATTTGAATTCACAAAGTTGTGAGAATCAACCAGGGTGGTGCAGCGGTTAGAGTAGCAGACTAGGATGGAGAGACCAATATTGGGATCCCCGCACAGCCACAGAAGCTCACTGGTTGACAGGCCTGTAGCTATGGTGGGGCTTTGGGGGGCTCTGCCCCCTTTCTTAAAGGCACAGCCCCACAAGAATTTCCCCTGTAAATGCTTCCCCCCGATCACTTTAAAACTTTTTTAAAAGGTGTGCGCTCCTTTAAGCAGAGTGGGGAGCTGCCGTTGACTAATTCCCGCACTGAGCAAGGGAGGTTGGAGTAGGTGACCTCTAGGACCCCTTCTAACTTTGTGTCAAGAAACTGGTCTCCTTTAAGAGAGTGTTTCTGCCTAACTGTTAGCTTTCTTGACTATAGAAGTCATCACCCCCACCTGCCAGCTTTTTCTCAGATTTGCTGCTTAGGCTGGCAGAAGTGATTAACTTGCAGCAGCTGAGAACTGTCACCTAAAGTGGTTGACTGCTTCCAGTTTAGAGATCTATCCTGGTAACATATTTCTATTGGCTACATGGCTTTTCTTTTTGCACTGAGAACTTCAGCCCCACCAGAAAACAATTTGCCCCACAAGCTGCAAAATCCTGGCTATGGGCTTGCTGGTTGACCTTGGGCCCGTCATGTACTCTTTGCCTGGTCTACCTCACAGGGTTGTTGTAAAGATTAAATGGAAGAGTGGAGAACGATGCAAGCTGCCTTGCGTCCCTGTTGGGGGAGACGTCGGGCTATAAATGAAGTGGGTCTGACTCAGCAAGGCAATTCTTGTGCTA